GCTTGTAAAACATACTATACTATTGCTGAAAACCCATATCAAACTTAGTCTGTAGTGACCTATTATAAGGTACTATTTATTAATCCTGAGTGCAAAGATCCTAATTCAGTGTACATTAAATTGACTTTACTTCTTGTTAATGGGAACTTGGGGTATTAGCCAATCTAGCATAATAGGTGGCAGAGTTCCCTTTTAGTCTCTTTTTCTAGTACCCATTAGCTAAAAATTTATTAACTTTTTTCCTTGTCTTCTTCTTAAACCACGTTCTTTTATAATGAGGGAAATATAATTTGGAGCAGCAGCGTGTTCTACCCAGCCTAATAGTTTGAATTGCACTCCATCTGTTCAGCTGCATGGTCTGATGGATCTGCTAAACAATTTTTTCATCGTTTATTTTAGAGCGGGTAGGAACACTCTCTTCTGGACCCATTCCAAGGCTTCTGGTGGGAAAACTTCATATTTAGAGTCTGTTGTCCAGCAGGAAAAATTGACTGAGTTAATAATCCATGGATGGCAAAACCATCTCTTTCTGACTTTCAGTAGTTTAAGGTTTATTTTTTTAAAAAGAAAAGATTAAATTATTTACTCCCAGTAAGAAAAACACCAGGCATTACTACTAACTTCTACATAATCACAATGAATTGACTATTTTCAAGAGTTCTAATGTCCACTGATATCTATTTTTGTGCTTTTTCAAAGTTTATTACCAGGTAGATGTGATTTTTAGGTGGAAGATCATGGTAAAGGTTTCTCCTCTCTTTTCCATGTACTGCAAACCCTCATCCCCATCAAGCCCTCCCTGAATGTGGCTATGAAGTTTAGGAAAAACATTAGAATTGGTGCCATTTGAGAAGGACAATTAAATGTTGTCCTAACTTTAATTGTTATGCAGCCAGAGAAGGGAGACTTGTAGTTTGGGAGGAAAGTATTAACCCTACTCTGCACTGTGACCTCCCCAAAATTACCCCCCATGGCAGTTAAATTTGGGGGGAAGTGTAGGTTTCCCCCGATTTGAATGCAGAATTAATCAAGTGACTATGCCTTATATGAAATGTAAATAAACACTAGTAATTATTTCTTAATGTTTTTATGTAGATATAAATTGGCATATTTACATTTTATGTAGATCTGTATTCTGTGGACATAAGTCTCAAATCTTTTACGTTTCTAGTAATGCCCTTATGTAAATGGCTCTGTTTGGTGTTACAACTTCAAGCAACAAAAGCCAGGTTGATCGTCTTCAGCAGGATAATATATTGTAGGTAGCCAAGGAGAGAGACTCATGAGTTCCAAATTCCAGGGCCTCTGCTGTAGGAACAAATTATCTAGATCAGTGGTTTTCAACCACTGGTCCACGGACCAGTGCCGGTCTGCCAGAGGTTTCCTGCTGGTCCGTGGGGAGACCACATCCCACTCACCACAGACCAGCATGGGAGCTGGCCGTGCTCCACCACCTCTTGTGTGGTTCGCATCATGTTTGTGGGAAAGTGCACTAGTACTGCCGGAGAGGCTGGGGAGGGGAAAGATGACTTTTTGTTTCTGCCTCAGCAGTCCTCCAGGTGGTTTTCCTGTTTTCACCAGTCCTCAGCTTTGGAAAGGTTGAAAACCACTGATCTAGATCACTGGCAATCCGTGGCTTCAGCATCAGTGTGGCATGCGCTGCAGGCAAGACATAAGCACTATAAGGTGAAGCAGATAGCAGCTCTTTTACTAGTTTGTATTTTCTTTGTATGCTAGTTCTGCAACTTGTTTATGTTTTCCCCCAGGGCACAGTAGTTATTCTTGATTCAAATAACAATGGATGTGCCTTTTAATTGTTTTTGTTCTACTTTTGCTGTTGTTTGCACTTCCTGTTTCAGTAACTTTCACATCCATGAAACCCACCCAACTGATTGAGAAGCTAAGTATTTTAAAGTAAGAATTCAACAAATACTGTTCAATCCAGAGTGGGTAAACTAATTGTAATTAATAGGTACTAAATTAGTCATGATTATCAACGGTCACTGATTTCAATAGATCCTCTCTAACCCAATAAATTTAGCTTTGCTGAAGGGGGTTAAGTTATTTGCTTTAAAAAAGAAAATAATTTTTGCAGAAGTTTGTTTGTAATTGGAAGAACTTTACCAGAAGCTGTGCCTAAAGTTTCTTGTTTTTCAATGTTCTGTGGTATGTTAAAAATGCAGAAACCAAAGTGGACAGGGAAACCAGTAGAGTATTCAATGGCAAAATTACCACAGCAGTCTGTTTTTATATAGCTCAGGAAGTGGACCCGTGGCCATCCAGAAATAGCTAGGCTATATCCCCTTTGGTTTCAGAACACCAATGATGTTGGCTGAAGCTGATGACAGTTGGAGTCCAATAACATCTGGAAAGCCAGCAGCTTCCCTCTTCCCCTCCCTGAATGGAGACAAACTTTAGGATATGCAAAGGTCTTACAAGTCCATACTGTTAAATGTTTATGTATATGGAGAGGGAGAGACAGTTTGCGTGACTGCCAAGATTGAGGAATACCCCTGAATACAAAACATCTCTGGATTAAAACTAGATGTTCATTTGCTTGATTAGGTAAACTTTCATATGTAATGTGAAGAGTTCATGACTACTCTTCACTCTTGCATAGTTTCACAAGCATCCTGAGGAAATTTAATTGCTGCCTAACAGATTTTCTCGAAATGGAAGTGACATGCTTGTCTCCTTATATGTTCCCACAGCCTTAGGAGAATGCTTTTTGAGTTGGGGTATGTGTGAATTTCTGTTACCACCGAGTATGATTCTTCTGTGGTGGGGGAGGAAAAATATTTAACCTCCAGCTCTGTAGTATATATGGAAATTGTGAGCATGACACTTCAGAGACATCCCCAGATGGAACTACAAAGTCCTGTTGAAACCTTATGCAGGCTTTACCCCATTTACTTGAAGACTAAAAGTGAAGAAGAGATAATGGGTTTCCATGCAAGACATGCAACCTTGTCCATTCATCTCCCAATGTTGAGCGAGAAAGTCTGAAGGGGGCTTCTGCTTGCATTTGCTTGAAGGTCAGAAAACAGCCCACAATCAGGAGTGTTGGTGGAGTTCCTAATAACACAGAGGCTGCTATTAACATTCAAGCAAATGTGAATGGACGCTCTCTCTAGACTTTTTGCTTCAGTGTTGGAAAATTGAAGACTAAGGAGATTAGACAGTAGGAGCAGAGCTTCCATGCACACCTTTAGCTGCTTTCCAATTTTAATCCTCAGGTAAGCATGCTGAATGTATGAATAGTTTGAAATCTTAACAAAAGTGCAAAGAGGTCAAAGCAATTCTCTATATTTTGGTTTTTGACCTGTTTGCATATCTCATTTTTAATAAGAATGCTAGGCTTGCTTTCCAAAGCTTAGTTGAGAAGTATCATCTCCTTCTTCTTCATAGTAAGCAAGCGGGGCACGGATTCCATGGCCAAAATAAATGCTGGATAACAGTAAGAAAAAAGCTGTTGATGCCAGAGTTAATTGCAGGCGTTTCTGATGTTGAAACGTTCATTTATGTGTTTGGTAGATGAACACAGGTAAAGCTTAAGGAGGAGGATCCTCTATTTTGTAAGATTTTCTTATGTGCCATTTTTACTTCTCTACAGATGAAATTGCATTTGAGTCACCATTGTAGTCTGATCACCCCATGTTTACTGCTTTGAGCCTTGCTTAACTCAGTGAACTTGCTCTGTGGAGAGTGTGTCCAGGATAGCTACCTTAGATGAACAAGGCTTTGTGAGCAGACATAATGAAAGATTCTACTGAGTAGTAGATCTGGTATTCCATAACTCTCTTTCTAAGCTGATGCAACACATCTGTGTTTTTTTCTGCAGAGTGGTTTCCAAGTCAGTTGTAACATCTTCTGACATGAACATTGTCACCTGAACCTGAGAGCTTGTAGAAACTAAAGATTAGAGTGGAAATGGAAGTAACTACATAGAATTTACAGCTAATTAGCTGTAATAAATATGTTTCGCTTTACAGTTGTTCTAACAGTTAGAAGAAATGTATCTTAAATATTTGTGTAGAAAGGATATTCTGAATATGCATATTTTCTCCCCATGGCCAGAGTGGATCTTTTCCAATGTGTCACTTGGCATTTTGGTGGGGATGCACCTTAGAGATGGAAAAAAAATTGTCTCCATGAGACTAAAAGAGGAAACGTTGTGGTCAGTGCAAAAGGGCTTGCAGTTGCAGTGGGGAGAAGGGACAAGGTGGTTTTAGCTGTCAGGTCCTCTGGAATATTGAATGGAGAGGAAAGAAGGGGCAATCACAGTGAGACCATTTGTTGGGTGTAGCATGGGTTGTTCCACAAACAGCCCACACTCATAGCTTATGGCTACGTCCACAACTTAGGGCATGCTGCTGTCATGTGAATTCATCCACTGTTGTCCTCCATTTGTAGCATGCCATCCATGTTTTTCATTAAATACTTCCGACCTCAGCCACATCACTTTACTCATGTTACAGAAAATCTGCTAAGGAAGGAAAGACAGAATAGCTGAGCAATTTCTTTTTGCTGGTAGTGCTAGGAGCCATCCATCTGAAAGCACCCAAAGTCTCCTATCAAGGTTTATTTTTCTTATTAGATGTACATCAGCTTTTCACTTTGAAATATATATATATATTATTATTAAGTTTATATATATTAATCCATGGGTTATTCGCCATTAAAAAAGTGTGAAAGACTATGATAATGGAATATACTTTTAAAACTCATTGCTTCAGAGGGTACTCTTTGTTGTGAAAATACATTGCCAAATGATTGATTTGGAAACTAGTATAAACATGGTAGTAGAGCTTCTCATGGTTTTGCGAAAACAGCAAGGCTCCTTTCCATTCATTTCACCTGTTTCTACAGTGTATTAGCTTCCTTTGTGAGAACAAGATGTGCAATCAAAGTCACTACTTGGGAATGAAAAGCAAGCATATTGAAATCTATTTTTGTTCAGAAGCTAACTATATCTAAACATTTTTCCCTTTCCTTTTCAGGATTGGCATTTGCACAACGTCAGGTCACTGTTCAAGACGGCCCTCTATATCGTACTGAGAATTCCCACATCACTATCTGGTGCAAAGTCAGTGGTTACCAAGGACCAACAGAACAGAATTTTCAATGGTCTATATATCTTCCATCTGCTCCAGAAAGGGAGGTACAAATTGTCAGCACCATGGACCCTTCCTTCCCCTATGCAATCTACACTCAGCGTGTCAGGAGCGGAGAAATCTATGTAGAAAGAGTCCAAGGGGATTCTGCTCTGTTGCATATCACAGAACTCCAAGACAGGGATGCTGGCGAGTATGAATGTCACACACCCACCACTGATGAAAGATACTTCGGGAGCTACAGTGCCAAGATGAAGCTAGTGGGTAAGGAGTTTCCCCCCTTGATCTTTGTTATCCTGTATGGAGAGGTGATCCTGACTCCTTGTGCTTAGCGCAAGATAGAAAATAATGTATATTGACTGAAAATTATGAGGAGAGTGGTAAGGTGGATACATTTTGTGAAATATTAAATTAATTCATAAGAGGCAGAGAGAGAAATATTGGCAACTGAAGATGAAACTGATATTGGAATGGATAGTGGAGAACAACCTCCCAGATAACACAGGGCTTTTGTGAGCTGTAAAGCTTGGCTAATCTGAGTACAGGTATAAAACCAGTTCTAGATAGAGTAATACTCTGGTTGAAAGGTTGGGATACAGTTAAGGAATGCTGCTAGAATCATTCTTCTCTTAAGCAGCTAAGGTAGTGGTAGTGGCACAGAATGCGTAATAGCAGCTCAGGCTCATATATCAGCTACATACCTATCTGGAGTAGCCAGAGAACTTCTTAGTTACTCATACATTAGTTACCTCAAAGGGGACTGCAGTAATGGACTTTACATGGAACTACCTTTGGTGATATTAAAGATTTTTGGTTGGTACAAGAATTTGACTCTTCAGATCCTACGGGAACCAGAAAATCGGAATAGGTAATATCATTTTTACTTTAGCTATATTACCTAACAGCATGCTCCTGGTTCCAGTTCAAAATGTTGGTATTGCTGAATGGCTTGAGACTGAATTAAACCATCATCCCTAAGTTACACCATATGTCCTGCCTGTGTGTTGAGATCTGAATCAGAGGTACTGTTCATATGTCCACCGGTGAAATTGGCTAGGTGAAACTGAGCCTTCACTGTACTGGCCTTGCACTTCTGGAACCCTGTTCTAGTTGACTTAAGTTTTACCTTTTCAATTCAAGCCTTTAAGACAGTATTGAAAATTGGACATTAATGGAAATTGGACTCAATGAGAAATTGAACTTGATGACCTTACAGGCCTATTCCAATTCAAATATTTCATGATTCTTGAAAACTTTATCTCTTTACTGCAGCTTTTTCCTAACAATGTGAATGGGTTGTGAAATTCATAGCAGTTTTCTTTCTAGTAACAATTCCTACTGGCCCACAAAAGGAACTTATAAAACACTATGGATGAATTAATGAATTAATAAATGAATACACTTTAAACTCTAATGCAAAATATGACTCAGTTCACTGTGATGGATGAAGTAGATTAATCTCACACTCTAGATAGGCTGCTTCAAGGTATATTCTGCAACTTGCCTGCTTGCATTGTAACAGTGATAATGGTTTACTTAATATTAGCTAAAGAGCAATCCATCCTGGGAATTTAACTGAAGGACAAATCCCAAAGATAAATAAATATAGCTGCAAGGATTTTAACTGGGACAAATTGCATGGCGCTTATATCACTTCATTACATGCCTAGCTATTTATTTATTTGACTTGTATGCCACCCAGTTAGCCATTATTTGCTTCTGGGTGCAATTCAAAGTGCTAGTATTTACCTCTAGAACCCTAAGCTAGGGATACACAATTCACAGGCCACATGAACCCCCCTCCCCCATGTGTTGCATGGCCCTTGACACTGCCAAATTTCTCTCCCTGCCTTCAGCATCCCAGTTTTTGCAGTATTAATAGCCACGAGTTAGCAACAGTGCCTTGCAGGGTGCCAGGAGAGGAAGGACGCTAAAACCTTTTGCTTCTGGGTGAAACAGAGGCAAGTGGCATTGTTGCTTCTGTGCTGCAAACAGTGGTAGAAGAGCAGCAATATCTGTTGGTGTTGCAGGGAGGTGGAGAAGACATTGGCATCCCTTCTCCCCATACTCCTGAAACAGCCTCCCACTAACCAAGAGGATTTTGTGGCTTGTGCACCTTTGTGGGGTTCAGGTCTGATGTCACTGGCCAGTGTGGCTCTTGGGGCCAAAATTACAGCATTCCATCCTTAAACAAGTTGAGGCACAGGAAACTTAAGGAGGCCCAGATTAAGCTGCCTTTGCCCTTGATCATTTGCCTAAAGCCCTTCTAGATGCGGCGAGTCCACTGTCTTTCCTGGTAGATGCCTGATGAAAACCTTTCAATTTGCTTATGCTTTTTAACTTACTGAAGTGTTTTTCTAGTGGTTTATTCATGTTACTATTTTATGTATTTTATAGTTAGTAAACAGGAATAATTTTAAACAAAAGATGTTATTTTTAAAAAATGAATTAATGATCTTGCTATTTGTGTGGTGTTAGTTTTTTCTGTGGAAGTCATAGCAATCAACCATGTTACCTCATATTAATGCTTTGTGCTGTTTAGTGCCCAAATGTTAAAATTAATTCTTGAAGATTTAAAAAAAACCTTTTGGCATCAGAGATATCTACCTATCAGTCAAGAATATTATTTTAATCTTTTTATAAATATGTTCAGATACTGAAAATCCATGCTATATTTATGTACTATCCCTTGGCATCTTTCCCCCCATATATTTCCTTTTTATATTCTGATGTACTTTGTGAAAAATAAATAAAATTGGAAAAAAGAACATTCTATTTGAAAAAAAAAAAAAAAAACGTAAGTAGGAGTGCAAGAACCAAACTCAGGAGGGAATTCTTGTTAAAAACAAGAAGGCAGCTCTTGTTTTTAATGCTGAATAGAAAATCCTTAGAAACTTAAGATAACAAAGAAAATAATTATAATGGAAGCAGTAGTGTGAAAATAGTTCTTTGCATTAACATCTGTGCAAATGTATCTTTGGGCAGAACCCTCTCTCAAAGTATTTAAACATTCAGTGCAAATACAGATTGGTTTTAATTAAACATTGGCAAATGGGAACAAAACAGTGCATTTTTTTTCTGAGAGGGGAAAGGAAGAGCCCCTGAAATCAATGCAGCAGGGAGATAGAATCATAGAATAGTAAAGTTGGAAGGGGCCATGAATGTCATTGAATCCAGCCCCCTGCTGTTGCAGGACATCCATTTACACCATCCTACTCAGATGGCTGTCCAGTTTGTTTTTGAATGTCTCTAGTGTGGGAGAGCCCACCACCTCTCTAGGCAGCTAGTTCCAGTGTTGTATTGCTCTGACAGCGTGGAAGCTTTTCCTGATGTCCAGCCTAAATCTGGGTTGTTGCAACTTGAATACTATTCCATGTCCTACACTCTGTCATCAGCAAGAAGAGATCTTGGCTTTCCTCTTTGTGACAGCCTTTGAAGTACTTACAGAGGGATATCATGTTCCTCCTCAGTCTTCTCTTCTCAAGGCTGAACATGCCCAGTTCTCTGTCTCTCCTCATAGAGCAGTGTTTCCAAATCCTGGATCATTTTTGTTGCCCTCTGGATCCTTTCTAATTTTTCTACATCTTTCTTAAATTTTGATGCCCAGAAGTAGATGCAGTATTACAGAGGAGGTCTGACTATTGAGAAGTACAGGGGAACTCGATGTTGTAAGCCGCCCCGAGGCTTCGGCGAATGGGGCGGCATAAAAATGTTTTAATAAATAAATAAATAAAATAAATAAACTACTACTTCGTATGATTTGGTAGTAATACTTCTGTTATTGCATCCCAAAATAGCATTTGCCTCTGGCAGCTGCATTGCATTGTTGTCTCAAGTTTAGCCTATTGACCACAAGCACTCCGAGATATTTTTCTTTTTCAGTTCTGTTGAGCCACATATTCCCCATCTTGTATTGATGCATTCAGTTTCTTTTTCCTTGGTGGAGGACTTGGTACTTGTCCTTATTGAACCTCATTCTGTTGCTTTCAGCCTAGTGTTCAAGTTTATCAAGATGCTCAATTATGAGATATTTCTAGATGTGATTGAAGGAGGAAAGATCCAGTAGTAGACTCTTAGAAACAGCATGAACCATACTTTGAAACATGAAACTCTTTGTCTTTTACATTCCTTAGCTTTACAGAATTGATCGTAAATGTGGAATGCTTGGAATCCAGTGACTTAGATTTACAGAAGTGCTTTTTCAGGTTTCTCCAGTCATACAGGATGAAGCATCTCTTAATTTAGAGTGCTAGCACTATAGGATGTGACAGATCTCCTCCTTCTTGCCTGTCAACAGAGCAGCAAGTGTGGAGAAAAAGAACTGATGATGGATCTTCCTTTTCCCACCCACTCTCCTCCTCTCAGACACCACAGAAACTTCTGTTATAAGGTCACAATTGAGACCTTATAAAATAAGTAAGAGAAAAAGAAAGGAACGTGTGCTGATGGGTAGTGAAGGGAGGGAGAGGCCAGGATCAAAGGCCATTCTGGTCCCCTCCCTGCCCACTGAAAGGTAATTCAACTGGTTGGGTTCAGGGGTCTGTCTAGCTTTATAGTATATTCTCATGGAAGAATGAAGGCAAAATCCCCTCCTCTCTCTTCTCAGCTTATTTGGCTCTAGGATAGGCAGAAGGCTTTGAAGTCACAGCCTTCCACCTATTAGGGACACCTCCCATAGTATTGTACTCTTAATTAATATAACTCCAAATTTCAAGTTCAGTAGAAACATTTAGGAATAACAACTAGTATATACACATCAATAAATAAACATGACACAAAAAGCAGTAATTTAAAGTAATGCTATGCTTATTTGGGCTATTAAATGTGTGTTCAAATTATTGGGATTTGGGTTTACAGCCTCCAAATTTTTGGCACAGGGAGGCCAGGCATTGGCAGATCTATGTCCTGAAGTAATCTTTGAAACATATGAATTTGATTGCGATTGGTGTGCCTGCAGTTTGGATATTACATTTTGACCAGGCTGCAAGAGTTTCTCCAGTACCTGTTACCAGTATAGCATCTGAATCAGCCTTTAGACCTGAGGTTTGGGCCACTTAGCAGGAGGAAGTTCCTTAATAGTTTTTGAGAGGGCCTCTCTTCTTCTCATACCTGTTGAAACTTTTACAATAGAAGAGGCAATTCTCAAGCTTCTTATCAATGCTAGTGACAAGCCTTAAAAGAGTAAGTTTCTCAAGCAGTTGGTACGCTTCTTGTAGGGTTATATACAGGAAAGAGGCCATCAGTAAAATGGTGCCTCATAGTTC